CTTTATGTTTTGAGGAATGTCATTCCATGCTTTAGTATAAACATAGAAGAAAGACCTCTGGCCGTAACAGTTTTTAAAAGCTGGTAATGTCAGTTTTACTTTCCTGATTTATTGGAAGCAGTTTTATGACTTTTACTTAAACACTTTTCTTAATTTTTACCAGTCATTTTCCATTGAGGTATTTTTACTTTTACGTAGTTAATTCTTTCATGTACTTTAAACACGTCTGATTTACTAAAGATGTTAGAATAAACCTCTCAGACCTGAGGCGTGTAGACGAATGGTCAGATCACAGAGGGGTATGTTAGCGGCACCGTGAAGGTAACTGCTACTGTTCAGGGACAACAACATCGAGGAGTGCGGTCTGGAGATGTTCTTCTCTGTGGACAAGGACATCCTCGGTGAGATCACCACCCATGAGCTGAAACCAGGAGGAGGAGACATCCAGGTCACGGAGGAGAACAAGGAGGAGTATATCAAGTGGGTTGATTTGTTTTTCACCTTTATTTTTTCATCATTTGCTTTGAAATAACTTAAATTGAAGATATTTTGTAGTGTTTGTTTAATGTGTTTAAGTTATAGTTTAGAAAAACTGAAAATCAGCCTTACTGTACTTTGTTTTGAGTGTCGTGACTTGTTGTGTGTTCCTCTGTCTGCCCTCCACACACAGGCTGGTAGCAGAGTGGCGTCTGTCCAGAGGAGTGGAGGAGCAGACTCAGGCTTTCTTCGAAGGCTTTAATGAGGTCCTCCCTCAGCAGTACCTGCAGTACTTTGATGCTAAAGAGCTAGAGGTGTGTTTAAAACTTCTAGTATATGATGTGCAGTACTGTGGAGAACTTTAATCTCTTCAAAGGAGCCAGGTATTCTTGTGAAAATGAACCAAACTGATGTGGCTTTCAGATTTATGAATGCTTAACACACTTCCTCTTTGAGTCAGGCTGCAAATAACAAAGAGCCCAAAGTTTCCTGTAAAAATTGCTTCATTTGTTTGCTGTGACAATGATTCACCTCCTGGGTTTAGGAACATTTTAATTCCCAAGTGGTTCACATGTCAGAGTTATAGTGTTTGTAATGTGCATTTCCTACAAACACAACATATGTAAAATGTAAGAACTTTGGCATAATACACAAGATTTTAACCATTTTGACACATACAGTAGCTGACATAGTTTTGTTTTGAACTTGGCGCGGCCAATTCAGCTGGAAGTGATTGGACTGAAAAGTAGTTGTTTTATTTTTTTTTTAAAAGGCAGCCAAAGAAAAACTTTGAAAGACCTTCTGATAACCTTAGGTACGAAAGAGGATTAATGCTGCAAAAAGTGAATAATAATTCTGACTTTAAACTCAAAATTCTGAGAAAAAAGTCAGAACMCTTTTTTTCATTGTCCCTAATCCTGTTTCATATATGTGACCCATCACATTGAAATGAGGATTAAGTCCAAAAGTTGTATATGGAGAAATAGGCAAATA